TAAGTTACCACAATGGGTATATATAGTAAATACTAGGATTTCCCCAATATAGTAACTTAATTTATGTTCCTTAACAGCAACCCAAGGTTTGATGCAGCCCCACAAGGCATCATCAGGGCGGACGCCTGTGAGAGCCCGCCGCGGATGATGATCCTCAGGTTGCAGCTACTTCTAGGGTTTAGGGTTTAAGGTTTAGAGTTTATGGTTTAGGGCTTAGTAATGGAGAATCAGATGGAAAAGAAAATGGAAACTGAAATTCAAAATACTATAATGGGGTTCAAAAGTATTTAGGGTTTAAGGTTTGTGGGTTTTTGGGGTTTAGTGGCTTCGGGTTAAAGATTTAGGGTTTAGGGTCTTGCGAATGGAAAACCAGATAGAAAGCCAAATCAAAGCTGCTTATTCTAGTTCTAGGCATTCTACACTGTAGTGTCTAGGGATACTACGGCAATAATGGAAAATCGAAGGAAAGCTCAAAGAAATGCAAACTGGGCTTAAAGTGCTCTATATATATATATACATATATGTGTGGGTGTAGGGTAAGCTTGACTTGCTGGTTGTTAGTCTGGGATGAGCGAGGACAGGAACAGAAGCTATGGGATTCTATAGGTGCTACTACAGTGGTGCGTCTCTCCATTCCCTACTTACAACCAGTCAGATTAGAAACACCCAATGACCAAGTGCTCTCTCATTCTGGCACTATGATGTTGAACTGGGGAGAAAGGTGTGTGGGGGCAGAGATGATAAGGGACCGGGTTTCTTGCGCGAGCCCACTGAATATCGCTTCTGGGTTGCAAAATGGAAGTAGGCAACAAACATCCAACAAACCCTAACCCTAAACCCTAAACCCATGCGTATTCCTGTATCCCATCAGGATGAAGACTGTTTGTGCTTGGTGGGCGGGGACGGCATTCACTTTGGGTTTATTCCGGGCTCCTATAGGGCTGACCTCGAATAAGCTCTCCTTCAATCGGGGTTAGTCAATGGAGACTCCAAGCTATGATTCTGCAGGCCTTGTTTGAAGTTCTAAAGTCAAGGGTTCCCACTCCTTTGTGGTAAAGCCCATTGCTTTCTAGACTCCCTGTGGCCAACTCATTGTTTTTGGCATGTTGGTACGAATTTTGAAGATTCCCGCATTGGGGAGCGGGGGTCATGTCCAGCAATGTAGGAACCGCCTCTGTTCAAGTGTTCGCGCCCCGGGCTAAGGTGGCCAAGAGTTTAAGGTTTATGGAAACCAGGGGTTGAAGTTAAACATGGAGACTTGATGGACCGGATGTTCGACTTGCCCTCAAAAGTCCCCACAAAGTGCATTGTAGACATCGTAGAACATCATACTAGTACTTGTAGAAACAATGGTATTGGCCCGAAAATCCTCAACCCTAATTGGTTGAGTAATATACGAATAATAGTGGTAATAATACTGGGTTGGCGTCCCTTATTGAAGCCATTAGGGAAAATATTGAATATCCCAGGGGCCTACCCAGAATAATAGTAGATACTCCTAGTCATAGTCCTCATTCCAGGCGCCACACATTTCTGATCAGGAAACCGTCCGACCGTCCATCTTTCTGGATCCTTGGACATTTTCTAATGTTTAGGATTGGGGAGGGGGGTTCGGGTTTAGGGTTTAGGGTTTACGATTTAGGGTTTAGGGTTTAGGGGAGGGCTTTCCGCAAAATCAAGATCCCCCACACGGCCCCACACCCCCCCAGACAATGTACATCTTGTGATTCCATATGCCGTAAGGAAAAGGAGTCCATCATTTTAAGAAATCCCCAGATGCCTGTTGATACCCTTTTTCTAAGCAGTCACCCTAAATCCAAAACTCTAAACCCCAAATCCTAAACCCTAAATCTCTAGGTCTCCCTTTCAGATTTCCGGCTGGGCCCGGTGCAACCACCTGACGTCACCGTTCTTGCAGAACTGTCTTTCTTTCTGAACCTTGCGAAAATTGACCATCGGGGCAATAACGCCTATATACTCCGTATATAACTATAACCCTCCTATATTATGGACCCTGATATAATCCCTAAATAGCCCTTACATAGCCCCTAGATAATGACTGTATAGTCCTCATATAATCTCTATAAAACCCTCTATCCCCCACATAGCACCCAATAATCCTGATAAAACCCCTATCTAATCCTCGCATAGCCCTTATCTAATCCTATTATGTGGTCCTTATAGAAACCCTAAACCCTAAACCCTGGGTTTAGGGTTATAGAACCCCTAAACCCTAAACTGAGTGATTTCAGTTCGGCCAGCCTCGGAAACATGCACGATGTCTACACGGCAGTTGCCTGGAAGGATGCCCCAGCTTCCCATCCCAGGATATATCTGTAGGGTTTAGGGTTTATATATATATACATATATGTATATGGGTTACAAGGAATAATGCAAGTGAAAACGGAAACTAACGAGGGGCTAGGGTGTAGGGTTTGGGATAGATAGATCGATGGAGAGATATAGATACAGATATACACGATATTGGGATTATGTATGGAATAATGGAAAAGAAAATGGAAACTACTATAACATATTGTGGATTATGTTAGGATTTTATTTGCAGCCTTACTGAGGGTTAGTAGGGAATAAGAGAATATATGACGTAGGAACTACATTGGGGGTTCTGTTCCCATCTCCTCTACTAACTATCAGTAAGCAGTGTGGTGTATCTCGGAGCCCGACCATGCTGCTTCTTCGCGATGGCCCACCGTTTTCCGTACACCTTTCGGCTCAAGTGAAAGGTCTTAATAACAAGTTTCCACAACTCTAAGATCTCCAAGACTGCACCGACATGGCGACCGAGGCATCTGCAACATTGACACGGGAGGGGAACATGGCAGGAAGGAAAATCCATGTCCAAGCGGTGCTTCAATGTTGCGCAAGCGTGTCGTAGGGAGCTCTTGGGATTGTAGGCGCAAATGAATGGCTTGGTGTGAGCTCAGGCGCAAATACTTTCCGGCCTTTGGATTTTACTATGGTACCCAATAATATAGGGTTTAGGGCCCTATAATGGAGAATCAAATGGAAAAGAGAATGGAACATGAAATGGAAACTGGGATTCTATAGGGGTTATCTGAGTAGTATCTTCTCTGCAGTAAGCTGGGACTCGTTGCCTTTGCCAACATCATGCTTGCGGATCTGGAGCCATGCCGTTGCCGCTTCAACTGAGCCGCAGCATAGTGCCCGCTGTCAATGCCCTGTGCTAGGCTAGGTAAGAAGATGGACTTCACGTCGGCTGAGTTTCAAGGGTCTAGGCCCAGGTGCTACCCCCAAGGTTCCACTGAGATAAGGGGGTTTCCCAAGATTAGAGGGACCTTAGGGAGGGGTCCCTCTAACAAGGAATATTAACATTTAGGGGGTCTATTTTGGGGCCTTCCCGGTTTATGGAAATGTGCCCGCCAGTCCTGCAAGGGGCTCAGGGCAAGCATGTACGGGACCATCTGATAAGGTAACCCACGATGAAGAAACAATCATTAGAGTCATAGTAACACAACCCCACAACGATCTAGTATCGTCCTAGTAGAACAAATTATTCGACTTTGCTGCAACACGCTGCGAATCATTGTAAGGATTGGAAGAACGCTTTACAGCAGAGGGTTCAGGGATCCCAGGTAACATTTTGACTCCTACACACATGCTGTGTCAACACACCTGAAAAAGGCCGGTGAAACCAGTGCACATCATTGGTATGTATAGCGATTTCTCAAAGCTAACAAAGGTCTCAAGAAACCTTGTTGTAAGGTCCCCGAAAGGGATCCAAAAGTCCGAGAAGTTATTGGAATATTGACATGTCGGTGATGGTCTCAACATGCAGCTTGCGCCATGGCGCAAGTCCTGCCATGGAAAGGGATGGCATTCGCCAAATCTCAAGAGCAACAGGTCTGCTTTCTATCGTGAGCTCTGCCACGAACCTGACAGCCTTCTTGCCGTGACCCACTCCACCATGCGAATTGATCGCTTCTGCATTCACATCCTCCAGCACAGTGGCGTTCTGGAGCACGAAAGCTGATGGTGGAATGTGAGTTATGGGCAGCACCATGGCACCAGAAAGAAGCCGGTGAACAAACTCAATGAAGGCGGAATCAGCCAGAAGATCTGCTCCATGAGTGCCAGGGGGCATATGCAGGGTATCTTCTAGAGTTACCCTGAACTTCCAGGTTGGCAATATGTCCGTCTGCCCATGACAGACAGGCAGAAGCGTTAGCAACAGCAATACCACGCACCCTGCCATTGAGGCATCAATGCGGGGAGCTTGTCGTGACCAGACGGCGCTACAACACTGATCGTTGACTTGAAGCTTGACTTCTCCCAGATTGCTTCTAGCATAGGTTTACCTTTTTTTGGAAGACATGCGCATCCTACTCTGTCGCTTTGATCCTCTTGAGCACAAACACTGCAAATGTCGTGCGCGGTGTTCAAATGCAGCAGCAAGAAAGTGGCAACAAAACAAAACGCTGTGAAAGTACGAGTCCTGCCCTGCCAAGTTTCTCAGATGCTTGCAGGCAAGAAGGCTCCCAGATAGGTACAGAGCTGATCATCAGGAGCACGGCCAAGCTGGGTGATACACAAATCGCGGCCACATGTTTCTTAGGGAGCAACCCTATATAACTGCTATATAACTCATGTAATCCTAGATAATCCCTATATAATCCGCATACAATCCTAGATAACCCCTAGATAACCCCCCTATACCCCTATCATAACCGCCATATACCCCCACATAACCCCTATATTGCTAGCCTGGCTATCTATTGGAAAGGGGTAGTTGGGAGTTTCGTTTCACTGTCAATGGGCGCTCAACTGATCAAGGGGGGGGGGGGGGTTCCTCAAAACGCGATACCCCTTACAGACGCTAGGGCGTCCCCTGAAAGGTTCTGTAAGCATGTTGTGTGGAACTCCCATAACTAGATGAGCCATAGTCTAAAGTCCTTGTATCCCTTTTCATTTCCTCTATATTATCCCCTGTATAACCCCATTGCAGGAATGCAGCTTACGGCTCAGATAACATTGGAGTTTGATGCGGCATCCCGGTCGGACTTGAAGACTTCGAAGAGGTAGGCCAATCGGACCTACTCAAAGTTTGGAACCGATGGACCTCTAAGGGTTCAGGGTGAAAACTCCTTAAAAGGGGTTTGCAGGAGAATATCTGGAGGAGTATTGTAGGGGCTTCTAAGGGTTTAGCAGTTCAGGGTTTGAGCTACTGTGTAAGTTCTAGAGTTTAGGATTAACTCAGGCTGAGACTCTAGGGGCCCATGGACCTTCGAAACGTGGGAGCCGTATCAGAACTATGAAAATTCTTTCAGGAGTCTCAAGACAACGATCTCAAATATTTGGGGATGTTCTCCGAAGTAGCCGTGGGCATCAATCTGTTTTGACACAGCCAGTGGTCTTCATTATGTCCAGGATGATTGAGGGAGTAAGACAACTGCTGGACCAACACCCTTTTTGCAGCAGGCTTATGTCCAGGCGCCCGGAACAAAAGCCTCAACCCTAAACCCTAAATAGTAGGTTCCATCTTATTTTCCATTATCCATATATAACCCCAATATAACACCAATATAACCCCAATATGACCCTAAACCCTGATCCCGGCCTGCTCCCATCCCTTGCCGTCCCTTCCGCCCTGAGCCTTCAGCCATTCTGTAAATGCCTTATGAGATTTCTTAGAAGACCCTCAAGCCACGCAAAAATTTGTGGGAATTTCCATAAGTTTGGTAAGGTTTTGGGGGGGTTTTAGCCCCCCTTAAGTAGATAGAATATGGCTTCGGGTATACCATAATATGATCCCCACATACCCCATATCCTGTCTACTTAAGGGGGACTATAGGGCTCAATAATTCTTGGGGCCCACCCTACATCCCAGATAGGGACCTCCACTCTACTGCACATATACATGGCTTTTGAGAGCCGCGCCTGCGAGGTGTCGTACACGATGTACCTTAGGGGTTATGGTTTATTATTTAGGGTTCATGGTCTATTGTTGTTGAACTTGGAGGGATTAGATAGGGCTCAGGGAACTCCAGACTTTTACCGTCCAGCCGTGCAAGAAAGAAAAATGAGAAAGGATGGGCGCCAGATCCAAGTTCTTCAAATCCTTGCTTTCATACAACCCCCCCAGTGGGCTACAAGCAAGCACTGAATTGTATCAATTTTGTTTTCCATTTGATTCTCCATCATCCCTAAACCCAACCCTAGTGCCCGTACCCTAATGTGGCGATACTGCGGGTTCTTGTAGGATGTCAGGTCTGGAGCTGGTTCGTAAGTTAGAAGCCTGTGGAGTCTAGAGCCAGCCACCCACCAACAGTCGAAGGCACTCCCAGCCTAAAGCTTAAACTCTCGCCTGGCCACAAGACATTTTGGTACTATATCATATTATATTATACTATATTATACTATGTCATATATTAATATATTATATTATACTATAATATAATATATTGCAATTAAGTGCAGCAGAGATTCTCCGGAACTCTTAGTGCTCCACCCTCCTCTTCCTAGGATTGCACCCAGCGAAAGAATGCGGTAGTGGTGGGGGTCACAACGAAAGCTCGTGAGCCGCTGCCAAGTTGCCGTCATTCCCACTACCTGGTGCAAGCATAAAAAACAGACTGCACATCCTAGATGTATGTACATGCCCTCTCAGGCCACGACTGAGTCGTAAGCCTTAAAAGTGTGAGGCAAGTCACAAAAAATGCACTTCTATTCAAGAACATGGCACCAGCTCATTAGATCACAGCTCCCATGCTGTCGAGACTCTCCTCTTTGACCTTGGTATTCTGCCACCCCGTCGCTGAACATGAACATGCTGCTGTGTTTCATAAGTGGGCTCTCCTCATAGAACTGCAAAGAACCCCGACATTTCAGGAGGCAAATTTTCGAGATAGCTCCACAGCACACGCCGAACGAAACTCAGGCTGTGGCCCGTAAACCACGCCATCCACCCCCGGCGGTTGTATCCCTTCAGCTCTGGCTTAGCTTCCTTCTCCTCCAAGCAAAATGCGCAGCATTCGGGAAGCTCAAACTTCACGTAGCAGCAGTGAGAGTTGCGGCGCAAGTCAGAAATTAATTTTGCAATGCAGTCGATTTGAAAACACGAGAAGCTGGTCCTCCCGCTTTTTGCCAAGATCCACCCAGCACATCAAAATGTAGCCGCCCCGGCCAAGCAACCTTTGAAGTAGCTAGCAGCCAGATCAAGAAAGCCTTGACCAGTCGTGTTGCTGTGATTCCTAGATGGCCTGCGCAATTAATCTGGATATGCGGCCAAATGCGAAGTCGCGTTTTGAGGCTTCTGAACCCTGCACTCCGATACTTGTTGCCAGCACAGGAACCCAGAACCACAAGGCAGCATACTTGGAGGTTCATGGGTTGCTCTTAAGTGCGCTTACAGGAAGAATGTGTAGACTACATGCGGCTCCTTATAACCCCCTGATATAACTACCTGTGAATTTCCTAGCGCCCACACAAAAGCTCCGGGCCGTGGCAAGGAGTCGGCCATTTGCTTACCTCGGCTGTGAGGCTCGAATGCAGAGCTTCAAACTGCGTCGGCGATGCTTTTCTTCCTGGTTCTCCTTAGCAGTGCTAACTTAGCAGGTAATAAGGGAATATAACCGCTATGTAACCCCTATATAATCTATTCCCTTATTCCCTACTAAGATGCAGTGAGTTTTCTACGTAAACCTTGACCTTGAATGAGAAAAATGACCCTTCTCCTGTTCCGCGGTCACAGTCTTTAGCTGCAGCTGAGGACGGTCTTTCCTTCTCTCCTGGAATACTGATACTCACCTTGACCACAGCTCGTCTCCTGTAACGTGCATAATCCTCACAGCTGAGGTAGTGTTGTAATGGATGTGGAGGACCTATAGGATGGAACTGTTGCAGTAGTCCTGGTACAAGGCCCTGTGACTCCAGCTAAAACACTGCCAACAAACTTGGCCCCTGCATGCAAACCCTTACCCGTACCCTGAGGAGGCTTTGATTTGGAACAATTTCAACATGTACTCATATAATGTTAATGGTTAGCTCTTGTCATTGTGGTAATTGTCATCATCGCCTCTGCTGTAGGAGTCTTGTCGTCATCGTCTTCGTCCTGGTCACCGATTTATCGCAATTTGACTCACGCCCTTTTGCTGACAAAGGTGTGAACTACGCACCTTGCGAAACAGAAGTGGAAGCACTGCACAAGCAAGCGGAAGTACAAGTGGAACAGGAGATCTTTATCGAAGATTGTGTCGTCGCTGCTGTTTTCTGGCTGTCATCGTCGTAGCAGTTGTTGCCGCCGCCAGCCCCGCCGCCGCTAGCCCTTCCGCCGCTCCCGCCACCGCCGTCGTAGTAAACGTAGTCGTGGTCGTGGTCATAGCCGTAGTCGTAGTCGTAGGCGTAGTACTCGTCATCATCGTCGTAGTAGTAATAGTAGTAGTAGTAGTAGTAGCAGTAGCAGCAGTAGCAGTAGCAGCAGCGGGAGTAGTAGTTGTAGTGGTAATAATAACAATAATAATAGTAGTACACAGCAGCGGCAGCAGCAGCAGCAGCAGTCATAGCAATCGCAATAGTAGCAGCAGAAGTAGCAGTAGCAGCATCAGTAGAAGTAGCAGCAGCAGTAGCAGCAGCAGCGGTAGCCGCAACACTTTTGCTGAATGTTGTCTATACTATCGCACTCTCTAGTAGCTGTCATCCAGGATTCTCAGGCAAGAAGCTGGCGAAACAGTACCGCCACGATTTTAATGGACAGTCGGCGAAATAGATCCCTTTGCCGAACATACCTGGCACTGCGCACAGAATCTCTGCTCCTATCTAGCTGGTCCCAAAATCTCTTGCTCTCACATGCCCCCAGGACAATTGTAAGGGCTAAGGGGCTTCTGCTTCTTGGATCCTCATCGAAGGCATTGGACAACCCTGGTCAATCAAATAAGTGACGAGTCATGGACAAACCTGACAGTGAGTACTACATGGAACTTTTCGATTCCCAGAAGTGAGAAGAACGAGCAGGCGGTCGGAGTCACCCACTATGTGGCTCAGACCGCCTGTACGTAGTACTCAGTACTGAAACAGGCACTTCTGATCGCCCGCAACTCATGACAGCGACCACAATCAGGCCACAAGTCGCGAAAGGACTCGAAGCCAAAGGCTACTTGCCAGCTCGCAGCCTTTTAATAATAGCAGTCTTGTAAGGGCGCACTGGGTATACGCCCCACATGAACACGAGACCCATGAAACTGAGTCCGAACTTCGAAAGGCCCTGAATCAATGTAAAGCAAAAAGATCAACAGCACAAATGTTGAGGTCTATTTGAAGTACCCTCTACCATAACGATACATGATGATACATGGCATCTAGGATCACAATATACCATAGTATTGATAGTCAAAGAAGCTGAAACACAAGCTGGGGCCAGCTGCTGGACGAGACATGTTGACGAAGGAACCTCCCTGCAAGAGAGATCTACCCACGACAGAACGAAGACCCTCTTCAAACCTTGAAATCCTATACACCCCTACATACCCCCCTTTAACCCTATTGCCCCTTTAAAGGGAACCCTATTGCCCCTTTAAAGGGACACTTACCTGAAGACATCCCATACCCCAGCCGTCATCGAGGGCCTGAGTGGTTGGGCAGGCGGAAGCCATCGCACACGATGCCCATGGCCTGAGCTTCAGTGGATGCTAAGCACCTAGGGGTTTAGGGTTTGGGGTTTGGGGTTTAGGGTTTAGGGTTTAGGGTTCTATAGTGTTTTTTAGGGGATAAATAAGACTATACAGGGGTTATGTAGGGTTGCGGAATTAGGGATTTACAGTGGTTGTTTTGGCCATACATAGGGTGTAAGAATCCCAGGTCGAATAGCGCACACCCCACTGAAGGCTTACAAGGGCTAAATTGGGGTTATATAGGGGATGTATGGTTCCCTTTTGGGGACCACTGTCCCTTGCAAGGGCTCCCCCGATCATTTGGTCCAACCTGAGAGTCCAACCCCAGTAGGGAGTAAAGGAAGAAAACCACTGCATAATGGTTTACGGCTTAATGTTTAAGAGTCTATATAATATATTCCCATATTCCCATGCTCTTTGCTAAAGACCAGTGAGTGGACGTTCGGGTGGGCTTTCGCTCCCGTATTTCGTTTAACTGCCAGCATGCTGTTCTGCTGAGGTTATCCAATCTTCCCGTTTTCTGGGGTGTGGGTGGGCGCCATCCTCCTTCAGTGATCCCTTGTGGTGTGAGCGGCTTTCTCTCTGGACCCGTGGCGCGGGCCATAGGGGACATGCGTCATCCCTGTGACTGCTTGCGTCTGCTAGCTCAAATACGCTGACGGTTGCGCAAATCGTGACCAGACAGCCAACATCGCTGCGTCTGTTGCCACTTGTGAGGTGTGCGACATCAACACAAGAGGACAGCTTGGAGAATTACGACCAAGACACCCACCGTCCCTGTGACTGTTGGCGCTTCTGAGATCTGCACATGGCAGACAACGACGGCAACAACAGTTACGAAGATCGCGACCTGAACACCCACCATCCCTGTGACTCGTTGCACTCTTGAGAGGTCTGGACTTGCCCGTCAGCGGATCATACCTTCATCGGGAAGGCCTGGGTGACCAGAATCATATATTAGTGGAAGGAGGGGATTTTTAAACAACCCCTCTACCGCGTAATGTGATGGGGTTTGCGGCGGGTTTCTCCAAATTGTGCTCCATACCACACCAAGACACAAAACTGCAGCTGAAGAAAGTATTCATAAACGTACAAATCGCAGCAAGTACACTGCAAGCACTCATGATAAAGAGCAGGAATCGTTTGGGTTGTTTTGAAAAGTATGGGCCCTTTTTGATTTTGGACTATATTACGGCGCCTAGTATTTAGGGGTACCAAAATGGGACCTCAATTTTGGCCCACGTTTCTCCTTTCGCCAAGTTGCTGCTTCCCACTGTGTCCCGTGAAAGAGCTGCTGGCTGGATCCCGCGGGGCGCGAGCTCCTCGGATCCGAGTGCTAATTGAATGAACGGTTTTAGCATTAAGGATTCAAGGCTTAGTTGAAAAAAAAGTTTTGGTAACCCCAATGGCCCAACCCCAAGATTTGGACCTTATGACCATCATATGATGGGGGTTGGGGTTACCAAAACCCCTATCGATAGGGTAGTTTCCATGAATAGGCCGGCCTTGGCATCAACCCTAAAATGCTGTGATCCTGCTTATTAATACACGGACCTGCAAAGGGAACATCGAGTCTTGCGAAACCCCCAAACCCTATAAACCAGCATATCCTCCCAGTTTCCAGTTCATGTTACATAGTTTTTCCCATTTTCTCCGGTGCTCTCTATACTGTTTCGTCTTTTTTGGGGGGGACCGCAAAATACTATAGTCCTTGTTATTGGGACCCCCGAAACAGGAACTCCTAATTTGGGGAAGCCCTCCTATATTTCTAGCAGCTACTTTCATACGAGCCAAAAGCAGAGAGGCTCCGCACAAACAAGGCTCAGGGATGTTCAGGGTTTAGGGCTCACAGGTGCGCCGGAAATGATGAAGTCCTTAATGGAGGAACCCTCCGAAGTACGGGCAGGAGGCACACCTAGCCTTAACCACCAAACTGCGAGCAAGGCCCTGATTAGCTGCTGGCTAGGCAGCGGGCCGCAGCGACCCCAGCCCGAAGAACAGTTAGCTTCGAGGGCCGTGACGGCTCTCATGCAGCGTTGAAAGGGGGTCCCAAGCCGTACAGGACGCCAAGCAGGCCTCCCAAAAGTTTTTCAACCAAAAAGCTTCCCAGGCTTCCGGGGCCTTTGAGGGGGGCCTCTTCAGGGGTCCTTGCCACACCTCAAGGTCCTTGCAGGGCCCCATCTCAGGCAAGTGGTCATTGAGGTACTCGACGAGGCCATAATTGCGCGATGTGTCGAGCTGGTTGAACTCCTCGCGGAAGAATTCATCGGGGTACCGCTCCGTTGGCAAGAGGTCCAGGCGGTATCTCGGGTTCGCGCCGGAGATGTTGCGAGAGTTGATCTCCAAGATGCTGTTCCTCGGCCACGTCTCCCTTGCGAAGTACGGCAGAGGCTGATTTTTCTTGGCGACATCCTTGAGGGCCTCGGTGAGGAAATGATTGAAGTCGTCCTGGTCGGTGATCTCCTGTTGGATGTTCAGGATAGCCAACTTGAGGTTCTGCAACAGCCGGTCCTCCTTCTTTTCCCACTCGGTGAGGTAGAGGAAGTAGTTGGTGTTGCCTAAACAAGATGCCCCATGATTACCCTGTTTCATCAGCTCCGCTTGATCAACTGACGCGGAACCCTTTGGTGGGCGTGGGAACTTCCACAAGAGCGTGTTGTGTTAGCTCTGGGCGCCCAAGCCCGGAAAAAAGGTACCTATTTCGGTGTTTTTGGTGGTCGTTCGGCCCAAAATAGGTACCTTTTTCGGGCCAAAACCGAAACAGTACCTTTTTCCCAAGCTTGGGCGAGGGCAGGCAGGGCAAGGCGATCACCAAAAACACCGGAATAGGTACCTTTTTCCCAGGCGGCGGGGCTGAAGGGCAGGCAGGGGGGGCTAGGGAGGGGGAAAAAAGGTACCTATTTTGACCAAAAACACGAAATAGGTACCTTTTTCCTGAGCTTGGGGACTTTCCCAGGGTCTCGTAGAGCCTCCAATTTTCAAGGCGGCCCCTTGGGGTGCAGCTGCAGCAAGCGAAGCCGCCGTGGCCCCACGCACAAAAAGGATGACTTCAAACTAAGGCGGCGCCTTAGGGCGCAGCGGCAGCGAGCGAAGGCGCCATAGCTCTGTGCGTAAAACTGATTTCTAAAAACCGTGGAAGCGCCTTAGGGCAGCGGCAGTGAGCGCAAAAAGGATCACTCACAACCAAGGCGGCGCCTGAGAGCGCAGCGGCAGTGAGCGAAGGCGTCGCGGCCCCGTGCGCAAAAGGGATCGCTAAAAACCAAGGCGGCGCCTTAGAGCGCAGCGGCAGCCAGCGAAGGCGCCGCAGCCCTGTGCTCAAAACTGATTTCAGCGCAGTGGCAGTGAGCGCAAAAAAAGTTCACTCAAAATCCAGGCGGCGCCAGAGAGCGTAGCGGCAGTGAGCGAAGGCGACGCGGCCCCGTGCGCAAAAAGATCACCAAAAACTGCAGCGGCTGCCGCCAGCATCCCCCATAGATATGCCGTGCAATGAGAGCCCAAAACAGAGGAAGACCGAAGCCACCATCAAAAAGCTCTAAAACTTAAAAGAGTAAGGACTGCCTGGTCTCGGGGTGGGATATTAGCTTTAGCACGGCGCGCCGCCCACGACCTCTTGGGTCGAGGTGCGACGCTTCCAGGTGGAAGCCCTAAACCCCAAACCCTAACCTATAGACGCTGAACCCCAGACCGTAAACCCTAAACCCTAAACCCTAGACTAAACCCAAACCCTCCATTCTCGAACAAGAGGCGGCTGACCCGCAACAGGCTTGTCAACGCCTGGGCCACTTTTGACGGAGGCTCTTCACAGCTGGAGATACCAAGAAACCGATGAGATTTAAGGTTTTGGATTTAGGGTTTGGAGGTTTAGGGTTTAGGGGTATATTTGGATGCGAATTTAAAAGGATCCAGGGGGATCGAAACCCCGATAGTGAAGATAGAATGGAACCTGCGATTAGAATGGGTTTGGTAACTCTCGGGATCTGCCAAGATGATGGCTCCCGCCAAAGGTGCCCAGAATCAGGATCTGAGTGTTAAACCCTAAACCTTAAACCCAAACCTTAAACCCAAACCTTAAACCCAAACCCTTAACCCAAACCCTAAACCCAAACCCTAAACCCCATACCCAAACCCTAAACCCTACGCCCTAAACCTTAGGTCTGGCAACTACTTGGCTAGGAGCAAAATTGCTCGAGAGAAGGACACTAGGGTTCCCTAGTTAGGGGTACCCCAAAATAGACCCCCCCCAAATACTATAATCCTTATTATGGGGACCCCTAAAATAATACCCCTAAGTTTGGGAAAGCCCCATTTAATTTGGCTACCCCGACCTTCGAAACCTCTGACTGTCCTGCGGCTGCTACAGCATGGGGTCCGGAGTTCTAATGCCTTTAAGGTGCGGAAGACTCTCGCGACTTGCAGGTCAAAGTCATACTTATGCGCCCAGGGCCGGCATGCGGCGTCAAAGTACTCCTTCAGGTGGCAATGTTCAACATTCACGGGCTTTTCAAATACAAAGGGAAACTAATTTTCGGATGCTTGCTATATATACTATTATACACTAGAATGTACTCTAATATTCTATACCATACTATAATATACTATAATAAGTATAATTAATAACTACAATGTACTGTACCATACTACAGACTGAAGAGAATTCCAGCAGCTAGCTGGATGCGACCAAGACTCTTTCTGCGTTTTGAACTCTTCTGAGGCCTTGTCCACCTGTCATTGGCAGGTGCGACTTCCACATGAATCCCACAGGGTGAGTTTACCCCCTTACAACTCAGACCCCCAACCAATAGAAGCATACATGTTCCCTGCGCGTATACTGGCGCTATGTTGGAGGTACATGTGTATACTGGTGTCATATTGGGTATATTCATTAGCTCCGCATTTTCCTGGATATGCCCTATATAGCCCTATAATATGGTAATATTGACCCAATAACCCAGTGTAACCCCAATATAACCCTAGTATCAGCCCCATATGACCGGGACTACTGCAGCACATCATGGGCCTCCGCGACATCCGGCCAGGACTTGGGATCCAAGTGGTGCTGCAAGAGCACGCTGAAAAACCTTGGTTGATCATCTTCTGTTATAATACAAGGGGAGTCCAAGCTCTGAACCCTTAAACAAATTGTATTTAGGAAAATCGGCTTCTGATGTTCTTTTTAAGCTCTGAGCTTTCATGTATGCTGTGCGCGGCTCAACTTATGCGCATGTTTTTGGACAAGCTTCAAATAGTGATAACAAGCATAGTAATATCAGTAATAATCATAACGGTTATACTAATTTTATACCATAAGTATAATAAGTATAAGTAGCAATAGCAATTTCAAATAATAGTGACAAGGATAATATCAATAATAAGAAGAATACAAGTAGGAATAAGACCAGTAATGATGATACTAGGAATGATAGTAATAAGGCTAGTAGCTCCGGCGTTGAGGGTTTGTGACGTCAAGATGGCGGTTCCACCGTGTTGACAATCGTGCCTCCACTTCAACACCGCAATCCATCGTCCTAGAGGGGGCTGATCCTTTTCAGTTTATTGTTTCATGGTCTCATGCGGCGGCCCCCATGGGACCCTGTGATTCAATCAAATTTCTACACACTTCAGCGCTGTCTCAAACCCAGTCACATCCTTGCACACCAGAAAGTAGCCGCAAAGACGATGGAGGTACCGAAGGGCTCAGTAATCAGCCATACCATCAGACCACCGAACTGAACCTGTCAGGAATTTTGGAAAGCGGCACTTCTCGATCTGTAGAAGTCTACATGACGCGCACTTCGCCAGCCAAGCAGCCAGGAGCATTCCTGCAATGACACCCGCCAAGCAGCCGACGGGGCCATAAAACGTCAGGAGCATTAAAACCATCCACACCGCAAGGCCCTCGGATAGGGCAGCTAGGCTTCTGCGAGTTGCTTTTGCTGCGGCAACAGTGCATGCACGTTACGCTCTCTCTTTCATTTTTGCTGCCATGGAGCTGCAATAATGAGCGCCGACAGGTAATGCAACCTGAGCCAAAATCTACAAAAAAGTCTTTCTTCAGTCGATGTACAGCTAAATGCCGGGCAGCAGGGAGTGCGTAATCAGACCCAGAGGGACCACAAAGACCCAGGCCACTGCTGCAGACGCCAACTTAGGCACGAGGCAGGAATTGGAACAAGAGGAGAGAATCCAAGAAAATCAGCGGCCCAAAGCTTCCAAAATCGGGATCTTCTTGGGATCGCAGACTGCATGCTTAACAAACCTGTAGGACGCTCTCAGTTGTTGGAAGCTACCTGTGGTGTGTAAAAACGGGTGCATCCAATCAGGAAGTTTACCCTTATGATTGGTATCATTATGGTTTGCAGCCTTGGGTTTGGATCCCTACAGCCTGTGATATTGTCCTGAATTAACGTACGTGGGACCCAGAACCCAAGGTCACACGCTGTAAGTCTACAACCCTAAGCCTGACACCCAAAAACCCTAAACCCTGTACACCAAAACCCAAAGCTGACAGTTTGATCCAGGCTTCCCCATGTTTTAGAGCAACTGTGGGGCCCTTCATGGACCAGTCCTTGGCTCAAAAGCCAGGGTTCAGAGTTGAGGATGCAGAGGGCTGAGAGCGCAGGGTTCAGGGTTGAGGGTGTGCGTCAGCGGACGCGTGCGCGGTACGCGCCCTTAGATTGAGGGACGCACACCCTATCGCGCGCTTGCACAGCTTAGGAGTGCCACCCCAACCACCCAAACTATTCTCATTCAGGTTCCTCTCCCCCAAACACCCCTAGCATGGGGGGCTTTTTTGGGCTCCTCTCTCCACAGTTCGTTCTCCTGCTCACTCCCCGTCACGCCGCCGCAGCCAGCATTCTCAATCGGTGCGTGGTGAATTGGAGTTCGAGTTTCCAAATTTTGCGAAAAATGACTCGAGCAACGGATAGGGGTAGCGGAGACCTTGGCCGACCTCCACGCGTGGATCTCCGTTGGGGGGTCCAACTCTCGTGGTCTACAAGAATGAGGATCTGGTGCCAGGCCGAAGACCGGTCCCAAAAGGCTCGGGCGACCATGTTTGTGGTCAGCGGCGCTCTCACCAATTTAATTAGGTAGGGTTGAGGGTTTTGGGTTTACGTAGGGTTGAGGGTTTTGGGTTGAGGGTTTAGGGTTTAAGGATGAGGGTTTAGGGTTTTGGGTTGAGGGTCTAGCGTTGAGGGTTTAGGAGTGACGGTTGAAGCTCAGAGCCCTAATCAGAAGGTGCAAATATGACTATTGACATCGCTATTGTTAATGCTAATATTAGTAGTACTGTTACGAATACACTTACTAATAGTATTATCACTAGTCTTAAGCTTGATTATAACTTTCACTACCACTTTTATTACAGCGGTTATTGCTGTTAATGTCACGATACATTTTTTACTGCAGCAGCGTAACTTTCTTACTACATTCACGAGTACTGAATACAGTTGTTAACACAACTTTACTTCGGGGATGTAGGTCCATGCTGCATACTTAGTACTGTTGAGAAAACCTTTAGATTTCGGGTATGTAGATTCACGCTTGCATCCTTGAGGGTGACCGTACAACTTCAGTGACTCCAGCGTTCCATGGTCGCGCCCGTCCCCTAACATCTTGGTGAAGGGTCGTAGGCAATGGCTATGAAAGCAATTGCCGCAGGTATCCTGGGCTGCTGTTAAGAAACTGTAAACAAGTTACAGTCAGAAGGGAACCAGGAAACTTATCACGGGCCCACACTATTAAAAGTTAACTTAAGATCCTTAACAGCAACCCAGTATCGCATAAGTGGCCAGCACCTGAACCACCGATCCTGCATGACTCAGGAGGTAAGGCAGCGAGAATCCCACTGCCACCAAGCCCAGGAGGATCAGAAGATCTCCGCCAGAGTACCTTCAGCACTCTGAATCACATAGGAGTTCCGCAATATGGGATCACCCCAGCAAACCCTAGGGATATTGAAGGGTTGTGAGGAGATTGTCAGGGTTCCTACTAAGGATTATATAGGAAACTCCCAAATCGGATCAAACAGAAGCAGGGGGTGGGAGACGAAACAGGATGCGAAGCCAGGGCAAAGTCAACTACAAGTCCTGAATCCAGCACCGTGCCTAAGAGACTGGCGAGGATGCGTGCTACTGCCATCATACCCCTGAAACCTTCCTACACACCACACCAATGACCACAATTGTGGCTGAAGAACCCAACGTATGTCATGTAGACAACAGCCCCGAAGCCCATACACCACATGCTTCGCAGGACCCTAGGCTTGCAAATGGCTTGGGTAACCTACCTGAACAAGAACCAGCTTATAATGGGTGGGTAGCATGGGCTTGTCAATGGATACAACATAACCCCTAAACCCTAAAACCCTAAAACCCTAGCTCAAGGGTCCCTCAAAATGGCTACCAGTTCAAGGTGCATCTTCGTGATCGCACCCAAAAGTTTGGACTCCGCTGGTTGGGAAGCCACCACAGGCTGGTAAGTCACAGTAAATGTCCTTAGAGACGGAGGGGGTGGATTTGCAATCTTTTGGGCGGACTCTTTCAGGGGTTAGGGTCTGTTCACCTTTTTGTTGATATTGGGCGTCACACTGAACTCTAAACCCTAAACCCTAAACCGTGTATTATTACCAAAGAAGTTAAAGGCTACCCACGGGACAGGTAAGTGTCTGTCCAGGCTTCATCCCTGCCGGGATTTTCGCCTTCACCTCGTGCAGAGGGTTTAGGGTTTATGTTGGGTACTGCCTCCCCCCCAGTAACAGTCTATATATTAGGGGCCATATATAACCAGATTATATTTATTCTCCAACTGTTACTGAGTGGGGGCAGTATCCAAAGTTTATGGATTATGGGGCCTTACTCAGGATCATATCGGAGACATGTTTGACAAACCGCATATCTTTTGGTCGCAGCTCTCTAAGAAAGGGATGCTTTGGCATATCTGTTGGCCAGATTACCCTACATGATCCAACCCTCTCTCTCTCTCTCTCTCCCACGGACTCAGTGATCCAACCCTAGACCCTAAATCCTAAATCCTAAATAAACCCTTAACCCTAAACCCCGACCCCAGTACAATCCTACAGGCTCCATGTCTAACTTACTATATCATTTGCGCTTCATAATTTTCTTTTGCTGAAGCCCTGTAAACCCAAACAAGTTCACTTAGGTACCCTTCAACCCCTTCACCACCAAGTTCAAGTTTAGGGTTTAGGGTTTAGGGTACCCCTTTCCAAGAACTGCAGAGCACCGCTAGGCATCTCTGTTCCCGTTTAGGCATGCAATTTTCAATCGACCTGAGGCCTGAGGTGATACGTTTAGGGTTTAGGGTTTAGAGTTTAGGGTTTAGGGTTTAGGTTTATAGGGGTTTAAGGGTTTAGTAGGGTTTTGGGTGATTGATATTTGAAAAATCTACGAACTCCTGGCTGAGTGGCGTGTACGCCCTGCCCATGAATGACTCACAAGCACCAAAAGCGGCCCTTAAACTATCCAAAACCCTTGATTCGTGCTCCTTTCAAGGACGCAAACGGCAAGGAGCTGGGGTTGTTAATGTAGACCCCTGATGAATAAACCCCCTCCTTTTAAAAGCTTTGATGTTAGGATTCCTATCATAATCCCCATTAAGGGGAGGGGGTTTGTTCATTAGGGGACTAGATTAGTCAGTCAATCACTAAGTCAGGGTCTACGGAATTGTTCACTTCAGGCCCCTTCACGAATTAAGGCGCTGTTCAAACCGATGGTAGTCTTGAGCATCCTACAGACATATCAGCATGTCTTTAACCTTGACAAACCTCAACCCCTAACCCTTGACCCAACAATCAGTCCCCCTACAACCCGAAACCTAAGGCCTTAATCCCGCAATCCTTAACCCTTTTCCCTATAGCCAAACTCTAACCCCTGAACAAACTCGAAACAACTCCACCACCTTACTAGGGTAGTTTGGGGGTCCTATGAAATTCAATTTGTATGGTTCGATGAGGATTTTTAGAGGGATTGAAGCTAACATAAATGAAAAAATGTTCAAACCCTAAACCCGTTCAAACCTACCGCTGCTCATTCAACCTGGTGGCGATGGTCCCGTCTGGGCTTTGTGCTTGGAGCTCTTGCCCTGGCTTCAGGGACATTAAGGGGTTTAGGGTTTAGGGATTTAGGGTTTAGGGTTTAGGGTTTAGGGGTTTAGGGTTTATCCCAATAAAGGTGAATCACATGGAAGAGAAAATCCAAAATGAAATGGAAAGTGCGGACACACACTGGTATAGGGTTTCCACAAATTGGGAATGTTGGACATCAAATGGAAAATGGAAGTCCCTAAACCCTAAACCTTTGGTGCCTGGGGTTCAGGTTTTAGGGAGGTTAGGCCCCAACCCGCCAATAGTGAGATGGGAAAATATGCTAGGGTCCCTACGTGGGGGCCCAACTCAAGTTTAGGGCAGGGTCTTAGGGTTTAGGGTCTTCATTAGTTATAGGAATAACGCGAGTAGCATGTATTACACTAAAAATCCCAATACTTGATCTCAGTTTGCATGTATTGTACATGTTCTTTGCCATTTGGTCCTTCATTATTGGGGTTATACATCCCCCAAATACCCCTATGCAACCCCATGCAATCCCAATATAGTATAACCCTATATAACCCCTATATCATATAGTCCGTCTCTAAACCTTTTATGCATATATCCCTATATAGCCATATATAGACCATATATAACCCCTAAACCGTA